CGAAGAGGACTTAAAACAAGCACGAAGGGATCGGCCTGTTTGCAAGAAAAAGCTTGGAAACTATAACAAATGTGAGTTTTCTAATTTCTTCCTGTTTCAATGGCCCAAAATGATTATTAGTGTTTTGGTTACATGGGTGATAGTAGACTGCAATTTGGCTGTCAGAGTTGTTCTGTCGTTTTAGTTGTACGCTGTAGATCAATTCAAAAATGCCCGATTTTTTGCTCCTTTGCAGACACTAAGTTTAGGTCAGATAAAATAAGAAAATTTTAGTCTTGTCCGTGGCTGCTTAACAATTCTTATGGTTTTAGAAAGTAGTTCTATGATGTGTTGTATCGCATGCAAAAAATAAACTTCGCTCGTTAAATTTTGAGGGTTCTGTGAGTTTCAGAAAATGGTGAAAATTTGCTTATAAAAATGGCGTCCGAGGGGGTCGAATCAAGTGATACTCGTATCTCTAATACAAGAGCAGTGAAGAACCTATGTTTATTATATTTGTCCATTACTCCACCTAAACTATCTATGATGTTAGTATAAACTTATTCTGTTGACCCCCATCCGTTGACATTTTTAACATTTTGCCCGGTTTTCTCTGACAACCACTCTTAAAGCAAAGATCATCGCTAAATATGAAACAGAAGAAAAAATCAGCAACAAAGAATTCTTTAAAAGAAAGTGGATACTGACGCCTTATTTAAGTTAACTGCATTACCCCCGTATTATTTCATTGCCCCGTTGTACTATTTCTACAATTTCTTTTAGCCCTGTAACACCTCCTGTAATAATTTGACAATTTTTTTTTTGTGTGTGTGTGTTTTGTAAATGTAATTATTTAATGTGATTATCAATAAACATATTTAAAAAAAAAAAAAAAAAAAAGTAATAAATTCACTTTTGCCCCTAGATTCAGCTGTTAATATTCTCGTTCCGCCAGCTACGAAGGAAATCACATTAAGAAATGATCAACCTCAACTACTGTTACCATCCAAACTTACTGTATCAGAGACAACAGAGCCGCCAACTCGAGAAATAGTCTCAAAAATCCAAGTGCTAATTATAAGTAATTTGGGCGTCTCTGCTGAAGACTCATTAAAAGATTTTCAACGCAAACTTTACGTAGATGCCACCCCGACTAAAATTGCCGCTTCAAATGTAAAACCTGTTTTGAAGAATCCTGGAGACTTGAACACGGACAAAAACATAATTCCCGAAAGAAGCCTGCTTGAAAATGGATCTGATTCCGGGTATGAATCTAAGAATCAAAATGAAAAGGCGAAGAAGACCATAGAGTACTCAGCAAACAAGTTATCAGAGATTCAACATAATATTCCTTTGACCAGTGAGTTCATATTAAATACAACGCCTTCACAAGGTAAGCGCTGAATAATTATTCTCTTAGTGTCGTTAGCTTAAGTATTAGGGACCTTACGAAAGTACGACAGTAACAGCAACGGCAATGGCAATGTCACAAAAGGAATTATTATAGGTTTAGTATATATTACGTTCACATTTTCGACCGGTTGAAATTTCATGCCTTTAGGTGTTCTGTTCACACGGAATCATCTTTTCGTACGAAAACCTGGACGCCTAGCCGTTCAAAGTTCCGTGTAAACAGAGCGAAAATATTGAAATTGTTACTTGAGATTTGCCTTAAATTGCTATATTTTAAATGACTATTTTATAGTTGAAAAAGTCGTCTCATCGATTTTGCTACAATCGAAGATAGACCTCCTAACAGCAAAGCCTCCATCTTACGACAAACCGGAAACTCTTACTGATCTGAATCCCGGACAGGAGGATTGCAAATTACCTTTTTCTGACTTGATTAGCAAGAATTTGCTAGAACTGAGAGAATCACACTCGGGAATTTGAATAAACCCCCGTTAGGAATGGCAGAAGAAATCAGACTTCATAACGTCATGAAAAAAGTACAGAATATGCCTCTGGAATATGATGCCTCAAGAGCCCACTGTAGGCAAAACTGGAATGACCAAATCATCGTAAATGAGGATTACAGGAAACCAACTTCCCGCCCTAGAGAGAACTGGAATGACCAAGGCAATAGCATCGATATCGTAAATGAGGATTACATGAAACCTGCAGCCAGCGAAGAGAGATTAGAGAAAATTCCGATGGAAATCAATGCTTTACCTCGTTCACCTCCGGCTAAGGATGTGAGTGATAAAGAAAAGGTCAAGTCAAGTTTTTCCCTCAAATCAGTCAGCCCCCTTACAAACAGCCTTTCATGCGTTAGGATGTGTCAGAATTTTCCTCAACTGTGAGCGTTTGAGAGCACTGCTGCAAAAAAAACCAAATCTTATTTTCTTCTTTATTTTGCCTCTATTTCTTTTTGTTGAGACAACATTCACTTCAGCGTTCCAGCTCCCAATTCTTGCCCAAGCACCGTACATCGGCTGAAAGCTTATTGAATACCGTAAAATTCCGCAAATAAGCCCCTCCAAATAAAAGCCCCCCAAAATCGTAACGCAAAAAACCCTCTCCGTTAAATCGCCCCTCCGAATATAAGACCCCCGGGGGGCTTGTACTTGGAATTTGCCCTCGAATACAAAGTGAAACAAAGCAAAACTGGTAAATTTCCTTCCCACGACAAGCTAGCCCAATAAAATTTGAAACGCAAATTTCCCTCCGTAAATAAGCCCCCTCCGAATATAAGCCCCTCAAAAAGGGCCTTGGAAAAATATAAGGCCCGGGGCTTGTTTTCGGAATTTTACGGTAGTTCCAGATACGGCTAATTTCTTTTAAAAATCCAAAATGCTAATGCGTTGCAGAAAGTAAATGTCCCTGTAAATTTAAGTCCAGGCCAGCCGAAAGTGAACGGAAGAAAAGATCGCATTCGCTTCCTGATACATCTGATTAAAACGTGTCTCAGATTTTCGACAAGTGCGTTTGTTCTTTTGTTATAGGCAGATGAAGTTAGGGATAATAAGTTATTAGCATTACCTGTGGAAAAAAAACTACTTTAACTCAAAACGAAAAAAAAAAAATATCAAAACTCGCAGAGCTATGTACGGCCTGGAAGGGTATGGTTTTGGCCTCTGTTTGCCTGAATTTTAAAGGGCTGATGATGATAACGACGACGACGATGAAGTTTAACATGGAAACCATACGCTGAAAGGTGTCGAAGCATTAACTGAAGCACGGCAAAGAGCTACCTTAAGGGTTCTTACCACATTTACACAAACCACCCAGGGTATAGAAATCTTGTGAATAAACATGAAAATATAAAATTTGACATAGTGGGAGTATAAAGTATATAATCACAGCAAACAATGTTTAATTATCACTAAACTTGGCCAAAATAAAAGAAAATAGCTTTCAAAAAGTTCTTGTTAAGCACTGTCTAAACTCACTTTTAATCACCGTTCGTGATTCGGCAACCCTAGCTAATAATAATAATAATAATGTAAAATTTGACATAGTGGGAGTATGAAGTACATAATCGCAGCAAACAATGTTTAAATATCACCCAAGTTGGCGAAAATAAGAGAAAATAGCTTTCAATAAGTTCTTGTTAAGCACTGTCTAAACTCAGTTTTAATCACCGTTCGTGATTCGGCAACCCTAGCTAATAATAATAATAATAATAATAATAATAATAATAATATTTATAGAGGGAGCCCAACTCGCCAAGGCGGTTTTCAGTGGGGCCCTCATGCATTAATCTAACTAATTAATTAATAATTACGAAAAAAGTAAAATATGTTTACCAGTAAAACAAATTTAAAAATTTAAAATCTTAAAATCGATTATACAAAAAAATATCAAGGTTTAAAATTAGCTGAGATCTTTTAAAACTAAACTTGAAACATTTATCACTCGGAAAGTAAAACCAACCAGTGTTTTATTCAAATATAACACAGTTATGTTCCGTTTTAAATATTACCGTGATTGACTTCACTTAAAGCTTCGTTATGTGTTGTGAAATAATATTAAAACACCCAATCCCAGGAAATCCCCGAAGGCGTCAGCTTTATAATCACTACACGTCTTTCATTCTCATCTGCTCTACAAACTTTACTGGCGCTACCCACTTCTTCTTACAGGCTGAATAACAGCTTTTAAACACTATGGTTTACTAATCTTGGTTTGCAACCACGTGACAAGGCGGCCATATTGGTGGTCAATACAATAAAATTTTTTCTCGAAGAATTTGCATGAAAATGGCATTTAGTTCCCAGCGGAGAGAAATGCTTTTGTTCTTGATTACCAACATGGCCGCCGTGACGTCACGTGCAAACCAGCACGAGCAATAAGATGAAGTCAGACCAGGGTTAGCTAGTAAGGAGAGGATCCCAACGAGATTTTGCACATGGATGTTTTTCATCCCAATGAGCAGCATTTTCAGCCCCTGGTTCTTTCTTGTCTCACGAGGCCTTAATAAAGGGACACAGCCAGCTGATGGATATGAGCATTACATACCATTTCTTACCTGATTTACATATCACAAGACATGCGATTGATACTGTTTTTAATCAATATAGGATGAGTAAAGAAATACTAAGGAATAAGTTTTCAGTATCAAAAATATCAAAGATCGAATGAAACACTAGGGAAGATTGAAGCAGATTTCTAGATGTACATGTATTCAAATACGTATTTGATTTCAGGTTGAGATAATATGCAAGACTGGTGTCCAGGTCAGCACGGTCCCAAAGCTGACTGTGTCCCTTTAAATTAGCCTGCCTCCCTTGGAAGAAGAAGGCGCATTTTCAGAAGATTTCTCGGAAAATTCAATGAATGCCTAAAACAGCAGGGTTATTAAACCAATACTTCATGCTCAAAAAAATCTAGTAAGTTAAGGTCAAGGATTGAGATAGATCTGCAACACATTTTGCCAGTTTCATTTCCTATCTTTTAACAGTTACCCAAGTATAAAATATTTCGTCACACATTTTAAAATTTTACACCACTAAGTAAATTAAAACTGTCCCATCTACAAATTGTGTTCGTTTACAAGTATAAAACAGTTACTCCCTCAAATGATCTGCAGACAATGTGTGCATGAGCATAAAAATAATGGTAATTCACGCTGTCCTACGTGCCGTGGGCCTGCTATTAACAGTGAAATTCTGTGCAATATCAATCATTCTCCATGAGAATTATTGAGTTAAACGTGGAGACGTACAAGTGTGTCCAATCTGAAAAACATTTTAATGTTGATGCTGTTGTAAATGGCTATACAGTAGAATCATTAGAATCTAGAATCGGGTCATGTGTCGGTCGTTTGAGACCAAGAAAACTAGGACTCGATTTCGAGCTTACTATATTAACAGGTAATCCCATCAACGTACGGCAGATCAGTCTTAAACTTGGTATTCCGTTGTCTTGTCTGCTTTTTAGTATGAAAAGCAGGAAATTTTTAATGACTGTTTTAATAATTTGACTTTAATCATTGTTGGCACCTCAAATCATAGTTATTAGAGGAGACTGGTTATGAAAAGCGGCAAACATCAATGATAAAAACAACAGTGCTGCAGTTTATGTTCAAAGCACCGTGAAAGTGCACAATCCTTTGTTTTCTGTTGGCAAATTGTTACGGAATAAATTAATGCAACGTTTTTATTGGTCAATACAATCAAAATGATAGGAATTCTTTTGAACGTTGTGCACTTTCAGGTCCACAAAAACATATAACAAAGGAGTCTGACGGGTTTCATAACCATGCCACTCAATTAACTATGCTCAAATTTGGTAAGAAAGAGGGCGGATTGAGAGACTGATGAATTCCTTCACGCATAAGATTGTAAAACATATGTATCAATTTCATTAGAGTAGATATCATGGAGCGACAAAATTACAGTCTAGCCTAGAGTAGTAAAGGGACTCATCGGGCCAGCCTGTTCTAATAACGGGCAACCATCATTGCTAATGTAAAGTAAGTATCCGTGAAAAAGGGGTTTGGTAGGCGTGCTTGACTGCTGTGGGCTAGTAAACTTGAGCAACAGTTGCTCCGAAGGGCTAGTGATTTTATAAAAGAATTTCGTGATGGGCGCCGGATGGGAAGTTTGTTCTAGTTTTAGTTTTAGTATTGAAATTATTTCCCTATTTATCCACAAAATGCAGTACGCACGGGCGGATATAAAAATTATCGTGAAGGTCAGTATACATTCAGGGATGCTTCCTATATTACGCAATAAACGGAGCTGTATATCTGTTTTTGTTTTGTTTGTTTGTTTGTTTGTTTTCATTGAAATTATTGAGGACGGTTTATCATTTGTATCTACGGCAGTTGCTACGAGAGCGATATCCACGAACGTATCCACTCTAGAACTATTTGAAAAATCGTTCACTTTTGGACAGAAGCCGGAGATACATTGACGCAGCCTTGCACTAAAAATCGTCGTTACGAATCGTCTCGTGTAACATCACCCCTTAGGCTTTCCATGGATAATAGAAAGGTCTTTCTATTATCCATGGGCTTTCAAACTTAAACGGGTTCACCAGGAAGCGCGCGCGCTGACATGTTGCACGTGCACTAAGTTCACCAATCAGCGAAGAGCATTGACCCTAACTAGCGACATTATGACATCAGTTTTTCTAACCGTTCTTCGTATGTTAAGCGCGGTCGTGGTTCTAACGGAATCTGCAAGGCATACAGTTTTGACTATGCCACGACAGCAGGTAATTCTCTTTTCAGCCATCTGTTTGCTTTTTATCAGCGCTGGATCCATGCCCATGGGCCGACTGACTGAGGTAAGAAAGAGACTTGAGCGTCCATTCAAAGCCATCTAAATAATTCAAAGTAGACAGACTGCAAATTATCTTAGTTGCTAAAATATATATATCTACGTGTCGCAACTGTTCATCAGTAGGATGCCTAAAATGCGTGCAATTCCACAATTGGTTTCGGCTCCATTAAATCCTATACCAATTGCAGAACATTTTAGGAGGAGCCACCCACCATGTGAGCACAGTCACGGACAATGTATAAGTGAGGAAAATAACGCAAAGTAAAATTAAGACGTTAATAATACTGAGCAAATGATATGACGCCATGCTTTGATTTTTAAAACAGACAAGTGTGATACGGAACATTGGCAAACGGGAAGTTCGTGATTCGGGTGAGTTCGTTATATGAAAAAAAGGTAACTTCTTTTGTTTCTGTTCCCGATTTTCCTTCCTGAACCAGAAAATTTTGAAACCTACGGTTGAAAATGCGTCTGAGATTCGTTATATTATCCTTTTTTCGGTGAGGAAATTGCACAACTTTTATTAAAAACCATGCGGGAAAACTTTTATTTTAATATTTACAAACCACTCAAAAGTGATACACACGTTCGTTAAAATAGTAAGTAATAAATTCACTTTTGCCCCTAGATTCAGCTGTTAATATTCGCGTTCCGCCAGCTACGAAGGAAATCACATTAAGAAATGATCAACCTCAACTACTGTTACCGTCCAAACTTACTTTACCAGAGACAACAGAGCCCCCAACTCGAGAAATAGTCTCAAAAATCCAAGTGCTAAGTAATTTGGGCGTCTCTGCTGAAGACTCATTAAAAGATTTTCAACGCAAACTTTACGGAGATGCCACCCCGACTAAAATTGCCGCTTCAAATGTAAAACCTGTTTTGAAGAATCCTGGAGACTTGAACACGGACAAAAACATAATTCCCGAAAGAAGCCTGCTTGAAAATGGATCTGATTCCGGGTATGAATCTAAGAATCAAAATGAAAAGGCGAAGAAGACCATAGAGTACTCAGCAAACAAGTTATCAGAGATTCAACATAATATTCCTTTGACCAGTGAGTTCATATTAAATACAACGCCTTCACAAGGTAAGCGCTGAATAATTATTCTCTTAGTGTCGTTAGCTTAAGTATTAGGGACCTTACGAAAGTGCGACAGTAACGGCAACGGCAATGGCAATGTCACAAAAGGAATTATTATAGGTTTAGTATATATTACGTTCACTTTTTCGACCGGTTGAAAATTCATGCGTTTAGGCTAGGTGTTCTGTTCACACGGAATCATCTTTTTTGGCGTACGAAAATCTGGACGCTTAGCCGTTCAAAGTTCCGTGTAAACAGAGCGAAAATATTGAAATTGTCACTTGAGATTTGCCTTAAATTGCTATATTTTAAATGACTATTTTATAGTTGAAAAAGTCGTCTCATCAATTTCGCTACAATCGAAGATAGACCTCCTAACAGCAAAGCCTCCATCTTACGACAAACCTGAAACTCTTATAGATCTGAATCCTGGACAGGAGGATTGGAAATTACCTTCTTCTGACTTGATTAGCAAGAATTTGCCAGAACTGAGAGAATCACAGAATTTGAATAAACCCCCGTTAGGAATGGCAGAAGAAATCAGACTTCATAACGTCATGAAAAAAGCACAGAATATGCCTCTGGAATATGATGCCTCAAGAGCCCACCGTAGGCAGAACTGGAATGACCAAATCATCTTAAATAAGGATTACATGAAACCAACTTCCCGCTCTAGAGAGAACTGGAATAACCAAGGCAGTAACATCGTAAATGAAGACAACATGAAACCGACTGTCCACCTTAGAGAGAACTGGAATGGCCAAGGCAGTGGCAGTAACATCGTAAATGAGGATTACGTGAAACCGACTTCTCGCCCTAGAGAGAACTGGAATGACCAAGGCAAAAGCATCGATATCGTAAATGAGGATTACATGAAACCTACTGCCAGCGAAGAGAGATTAGAGAAAATTCCGATAGAAATCAATGCTTTACCTCGTTCACCTCCGGCTAAGGATGTGAGTGATAAAGAAAAAGTCAAGTCAAGTTTCTTCCCTCAAATCAGTCAGCCCCCTTACAAACAGCCTTTCATGCATTAGAATGTGGCAGAATTTTCCTCAACTGTGAACGTTTGATAGCGCTGCTGCAAAAATAATAAATATTATTTTCTTCTTTATTTTGCCTTTATTTCTTTTTGTTGAGACAACATTCACTTCACCGTTCCAGCCCCCAATTCTTGCCCAAGCACCGTACATTGGCTGAAAGCTTATTAAATACCGGTAGTTCCGGATACGGCTAATTTCTTTTAAAAATCCAAAATGCTAATGCATTGCAGAAAGTAATTGTCTCTGTAAATTTAAGTCCAGGCCAGCCGAAAGTAAACGGAAGAAAAGATCGCATTCGCTTCCTGACACATCTGATTAAAAGTGTCTGAGATTTTTGACAAGTGCGTTTGTTCTTTTGCCGAAGTTATAGGCAGATGAAGTTAGGGATAATAAGTTATTAGCATTACCTGTGGAAAAAAATACTTTAACTCACAACGAAAAAGAAATCAAAACTCGCAGAGCAATGTACGGGCTGGAAGGGTATGGTTTTTACCTCTGTTCGCCCGAACTTGGGTACAGGTGTAAATTTTAAAGGGCTGGTGATGATAACGACGACGACGATGATATTTAACGCGGAAACCAAACGCTGAAACGTGTCCGAGCACTAGATGAAGCACGGCAAAGAGCAACTTTAAGGGTTCTTACTACATTTACACAAACCACCCGGGTAGAAATCTTGTAAATAAACATGAAAATGTAAAATTTGACATAGTGGGAGTATGAAGTACATAATCGCAGCAAACAATGTTTAAATATCACCCAAGTTGGCGAAAATAAGAGAAAATAGCTTTCAATAAGTTCTTGTTAAGCACTGTCTAAACTCAGTTTTAATCACCGTTCGTGATTCGGCAACCCTAGCTAATAATAATAATAATAATAATAATAATAATATTTATAGAGGGAGCCCAACTCGCCAAGGCGGTTTTCAGTGGGGCCCTCATGCATTAATCTAACTAATTAATTAATAATTACGAAAAAAGTAAAATATGTTTACCAGTAAAACAAATTTAAAAATTTAAAATCTTAAAATCGATTATACAAAAAAATATCAAGGTTTAAAATTAGCTGAGATCTTTTAAAACTAAACTTGAAACATTTATCACTCGGAAAGTAAAACCAACCAGTGTTTTATTCAAATATAACACAGTTATGTTCCGTTTTAAATATTACCGTGATTGACTTCACTTAAAGCTTCGTTATGTGTTGTGAAATAATATTAAAACACCCAATCCCAAAAAATCCCCGAAAGCGTCAGCTTTATAATCACTACACGTCTTTTATTCTCATCTGCTCTACAAACTTTACTGACGCTACTCACTTCTTCTTACAGGCTAAATAATAACTTTTAAACACTATGGTTAACTATTCTTGGTTTGCAACCACGTGACAAGGCGGCCATATTGGTGGTCAATACAATAGAATTTTTTCTTGAAGAATTTGCATGAAAATGGCATTTAGTTCCCAGCGGAGAGAAATGCTTTTGTTCTTGATTACCAACACGGCCAACATGGATATAAGCATTACATACCATTTCTTAGCTGATTTACATATCACAAAACACGCGATTCATACTGTTCTTAATCAATATAGGACGAGTAAAGGAATACTAAGGAACAGGTTCTCAGTATCAAAAATATCAAAGATCGAATGAAACACTAGGGACGATTGAAGCAGATTTCTAGACGTACATGTATTCAATGCGTATTTGATTTCAGATTGAGATAATATGCAGGACTGGTGTCCAGGTCAGCACGGTCCCAAAGCTGACTGTGTCCCTTTAAATTAGCCTGCCTCCCTTGGAAGAAGAAGGCGCATTTTCAGAAGATTTCTCCAAAAATTCAATGAATGCTTAAAACAGCAGGGTTATTAAACCAATACTTCATGCTCAAAAAAATCTAGTAAGTTAAGGTCAAGGATTGAGATAGATCTGCAATACATTTTGCCAGTTCCATTTCCTATCTTTTAACAGTTACCCAAGTATAAAATATTTCGTCACACATTTTCAAAATTTTACACCACTAAGTAAATTAAAACTGCCCATCCACAAATTGTCTTAAAAGAGTTACTCCCTCAAATAATCTGCATGTCAGAAAACTCTACAAGTTACCAAGTCCTCCTTTAATGAACTGGACAGCCTTGTAAAAAGCAAAACAAAGAAGCGCACATTTTGTCTGATACATCAAAAGTTAAAATGCTGGTTAACCCAAAATCAGGCATTTTTATCACATATGAGAAGTCTTTTAGAGATACAAAGATAGCATGATTGCAAGCTAATATCAATGTAGTGCAGTTTAAACAAATTCAGCAGTTATGGACTGACCATCCAATTGAGTAAAATACAAAAATAAGGAATGTTATTTCTTTTTTAAAATAAATATGGAAATGACTCCACAAATAAAAAACGAAGACAAAGAAGGTACAGACAGACTTCATATCCCATCCCTGTGACTTTGAATTCTCTCTCTAACGGACACATTTATTTGCCATGAAGCTGTGACTTTGTCATTAACCCTTTAAGTCCCAACAGTGATCAACATCAATTTTCTCCTAACAACATCCATACATTGGCAAGAGAAAAGGTTATGAGAGTTAATACAATGCTCACCAAAGAGAAAATGCTTTGATCTTTTATCAAATTCTCTCAACTAATTCTTAAAGGAAATGTATAGAGACCAGTTTGGAGAATTTGTATGTGGATATTGGGGCTTAAAGGGTTAAGCAATAATGTCACATTTGGCTGCCTTAATCCTTCATGTGATAAAATAGCACACATACACAAAGTGGACTTGACTGCCATGACATAGTTGCTTTTTGTCTCCATCCATGTGAATTTTGAGTGTAGACATTGTTTTGTCACAAGAGTATCCAAGCTCTAATTTGGCAATTCTGGCCACATGCGTTATTCAATTCATTATTAATGATTATTATAATAAAATTATGATACACAGCAAAATTCTCAAGAGGATGACAGTGTGCTGCATATTTAACTTGATGGGTACACCTCCACACTTGGCCGGGTCTGTGGCCCGCCTCCCAGCCTAAAAACAAATTTTAATAACATTAAAATGAGAGCAATATTCCGCAATCATGTCAAAGCTGTACAAGTCGTGCATAAAAAGGAAACATGACTGGCCAACCCAAAGAAAAACTTATGGACGACCATGCAGATAATTTAATATCAAACACCCAAAATGGAATGTTTGCTCGCTAAAGAAAGTAGAGTTACCTAGTTTAGTGGCCTTAAATCCCTTGAGTCTCCTATAGCTCAGTGGTAGAGCATCTGGACTGGTAATCAGAAGGTCATAGGTTTGTCTCCTACTGGGAGTACTTGGAGTTTTTTTCTTTTGAACCGCCTGTGTCACTGACTGACTGAATAACATCTTTCTCAAAATTTGAGATGGTTTCATTTCAGTTCATTGATATGGTAAAAATTGGATTAGTGGGCTATTAAAATCTAGTCTGCTACACAGCCATTTTTAGTGTCGTCACGCAATGCTCCTCCCCACAAACGGTTGCTGAAAACCGAACTACATTCCTTTCCCTTTGTGTTTGTGGTCTAACGAACAAGCCAATCATGCACAAGAAGTTTGACAATACGTGAGCCGTGGGGCGCTAGGAAGCGAGCACGCTTCTCAGTTTTCGACAAATCAATCAATCGTCGCTGAATTTAGACGGGCTCTGTGTTTTCAAGCAACGAAAAGGTAAATTTACAAAAAAGTTTGTTTTAAGCGGTCAAGAAAGTTCCAAGTGAAAGAAAGGTTTGATAGGCCTAGAAGACTTTTACCAGGATCGGTTGGTTCTTCATTTAATGTGCATATGTACTGATATGTGATGAAGAATTTAAATGTGCCGGATGTGCTCATTGTGTTCCTGTGAACTCTCAAGGGTACTGATTCAAAAAGCAATCTTTTAAATTATCGATGAGCGATTTCCCGAACTATACCTGGCAACTTTATGAGCACATCCATGTTGTGCATCGCAATTTGCTCGACTTGCTTGCTACTGGTGCTTATCTCCTAAATTTTAAATAGGACTCGACTACGACAACACTACTCTAGTTAATTGCTTGTTTTCACGCGACGTTTTGATTATTCTGTCATTCACACACGGGGCACCGATAAAAGCAAAGCTGTGATTGGAGGAGTCACAGTACCGCAACATGGCGCGAACACTTTCCAGAAAACGGGAGCTGAATTATAATTGGCTAATCACGGGAAAGGAATGTAGTTCGGTTTTCAGCAGCCGTTAGTGGGGAGGAGCGTTGCGTGACGACACTAAAAACAGCTGTGTAGCATACTAATTAAAATCCTGATTATTCAAACCTCCTGGATGAAAAGAATTTAACTGGGTTTGGATTACACTTACATGTAGCTTGAAAAATTTTAATGGAAATAAAGTTATAAACAAGAGGAGTTCCACAAAGAACATCCCTCGCCCCAGGAAAACAAAGACAGAAATCTAAGAGTCTTTTGCGACTCCTGCAAGATCTTATACAGCTTCATATAAAATAAATCAGAATTTAAAACATAAATCAAAAAGAACCACTGTTAAATGTAAAATTCTGATAACTACTGTTGAAGTCCCATATTCACTTTGATCTAACTCAGACTGTCTCTTTAATAATCATTTCATCATGAACATTAAAATCTCTTAATAATACCTTCTAGGTGTTCTACAGAAAAGCATTTGAATAATATTGTTTTATTATCTGATAATCATTTTATTGTTATGCATTTACCTTAAAGCCTGCTATGATATTAGTTTTCAATAATTAAAAGCAGGAGTTCAATTAATGCTAGTTGAGCCTGCTTTAACTGGAAAAAATATAAGTTGTTGTCATCAAAAACAAAATGAAAACAAGATTTTGTCCAATCTAACTATACTATACACTATGTATTACAATCCCCACCTATATTTGGTAAATCGTCCTAACTGAATCAGCTGGCAGACCTCATTGCTAAAGTGACAAGCAAAGAGAAGCATGTTCCTAGGTTGAACTCGCCATGCAAACCTCATAAACAGCATTGAATAGATGCAAAGAGCTGGCAAATAAAGAGAAACAACAGTCAATCTCAAAATTAATATGATAAAAGCAACAACAACAACAACAAAAACAGAAGTGAAGTTTTGAAAGCCTGATAAGTCATGATAAGTTACTACTTTAACATCTGGTTTCAAAAATGGGTGTGCCATTCATTGTGCAATGAAAAAGCTTTGTTTCACACTATGTCTAGCAACCTTGGTGTGTAAATGGCTGTGAGAAAAATGCAGTGCAAAGAAAGTCAGTTTTACAGCTGCCCTATGGGCAAGCAGTAGCTAGCATATACTAAGCCCCAGAGTCATTTTTACTAGCTCCCCAAAAGGTTTGGATCAGAATTAACAATTAAGTTATCATTATCAATTGATTGATTTATTAATACATAATTTGTAATGATAACTTTACTTCATCAGATCAGCTTGAAAAACAGCTTTCGATTTTCATGTATTTAATGGTATAGTAAATTGAAATTTAAACAATAATATTTGTCTTACAGTAATTCTGTAATTTGGATTCCCTCAAATACTTAGCTTGCCCATTATTATAAAGCAAGTTTATAAGAACAAAATTACTAGCCTGAACACAAAATCCACTAGCCCTCGGCTATCAGACAGGACTTGCTTTGCAAGCTGTACTGTTGGGAGACCCCTGTGATGGACTACATGTACAAACATGTCCAGGTAAAGGGTAGGGATTACGATATTGCCTAATTACATGACCATCCTCACCTGTTGTCATTTTACCACTGATGTACTCAGGATCCCTCTTCATGTCAGACATTGCCGCAAGAGGAAGACCCCAGTTGGCAACTACAATAAAGTAAAATACACAAATTTGTTCATGATGTGTACTTGAAGTGTATGGCCTCATTGTCTAGACAAGGAGCATAATGAAAAATCAGAAAAGATTGGTGTAAGGTTAATTGCTAGCGTGTACTGCAAATGGTGCTTGGTTTGTAACTTTTGTAAAGAAATCTGACTGTGCTTCTGCAGCTACATACCACTACTACTGTTTCATTATTCTTATTTAGTTTTAATATAATTCAATCTGTTATTAACGGCAAACAAACACAAGAGAGAAGCAGTGAAAGACTACTAAGGAATGTACATTGTAATAACCATGCGTGCTAGTCCTCCTAATTTAAAAAATAACTGACAAAGTGTGAGAAGAAAGAAAAAGAAGTTGTCAGAAAAAAGGAACACATTGAATCTGTTAATTCTATTACATGACCCAAGGGCAGTAAGATCCCATGCAAAATGATCTTCCAGCCTTCCCATATCAAGAGATAGAATCCCAATCAAACTTCAACTTACAGGTAAGTCTTGTTTAATTATACAGTTTATTATGATAAAAAATAAAATTTTAAAAATGATAATACCACTACTGTAATAATAAACACTGTTTTACATGTAAGCTCTGATCAAGTAACATTTGAGATTGTATTCTTGTGATACTCTCTGCAATGTTTTTGGAACTTGACAGGCTTAGGTCTTCAGTTCTATGCTTCTTGAGTAACTTCCATAAATGAGGAATTCTATTACAAAATTTGTAATAATGTTCCCTTAAAAAATTTGGTTCTTCTACTGAAAAAGAATGGAATATCTGTTTATTACTTAATCCCTTATATGAGCTGAACCAAAAATAGGTCAGACAAATGAGTCCACAATTGAGTCTGTAGATCTCATCCTTTAAGCCACTTGTAACCTAGGTCATGTAGGATAACCCTTGTCGCACATTATTTTCTGAACTCTCTCTACTAGCCTTTTCATAGAGACGGACTCAGGCCAGAGGGTGGTGGGGGTATCCCGTATAAAAGTGATGGGGATGCTCTTTGTCATGCTTAAGGGTGTTAATTACAGATTTCCGTCTCATTTACGGTGTTTGGGATGGAAAGTCACTATATTTGCCCATTCAGATATCGCTTAGTAATTTGTATAAGAAATTTACAAAAAATGCTCTGACACTGACCACACAGAAATCTCCCTTAGGGGTCAACTCAAGCTTCAGCCACACCAACATTGGTCTCCCTTAGGGGTTTAATTTGAATGTTCTGACAAGCATCCCAGTCACTTTTACAGGGGAGCCCCCCCTCTCTCGCCAGGACTCAGGTTCAAGATTTCAGAGGCATAATCGAGGAGGGAATGCACAATAGCAATGCAGAGAGATCTCGGTGATACTGGTTGCTTACGCTGATGGTAAGAAAAATAAATCCTAGCATCTACAGGGTATCACCTTGCAATGATTCGCAATCACTGACAGATCTTATAATGCAAAAGCCCTCTTTCAGGGCTGTCTTGTCTTTAACGTCCAAGGACCAGGGATTTCCCCCAGCTACTATGTACATGACCCCTGGCCACTTTGAGAGGAACCAAAAGGAAAATACAACACATAGCATTTCCTCTATAGACGGTATATACCTGGCAACTTGAAACCTTAGTGACAGCGCTGCTCTTTGCATTGCTGGCAAATAATGCCAAAATGCTTGAGTCAGACAAAGCACATGGCATACAATGGTCTTTATTTTTATCAGGGTCCAAAACTAACTTTTTTATCCAGGTGACAAG